TCCTTAAACTTTTTTGCATTCCTAAGATCTATAATTCTCTTCCTGCCATGAAATGGTAATGGTAGCTATGACAATGACAATCTACATAAGAATATTTTTAAAACAAAACCAAGATTTTGTTTCATACCAAATAAATGTAGGGTAACTTCCCCCACCTTGCTTGCTCTTCTAAATTTCTCCCTTATTATTCTTAGTATTTTACCTTCAATAAACATTGGCTGCACCAGCACTACACAGCGCTACACAGGTTGTATCAATAGTGCACAAATCTCAAACTTCCCTGCTTGGGCAAGTTCTCTGTCAGCCATGAACAGGCACAAACTGTGATTAGTAATTACTATTCATTCAAACTAACAATTTTTTTTAACCTACTATGTACCTGTACTGCTATAGATCTTAAGGAACATCAGGTTCTTGTTCTCCTAGTGAGGAGAAATAAAAAAAATAAACAGATAACAACTAATTGTCAAGGTGATTACTGCTATAAAGAAAATCAAAGCAACTGAAGAAAATAGAGTGGGAGGGCTGGGGATATAGCTCAGTTGGTAGAGTGTTTGCCTTGCATGCACAAAGCCCTGGATTCAATCCTCAGCACCACCACAAAAGAAAGAAAGAAAATAGAGTGGGAAAGAGAATGCTTGTCTTAGAAGGTTTATTGAGGGCTTCACTAATGAGATGAGGTTGTATCTGAGCAGAAACTTGGATGGAGAAAGAAGATGTGCCATGTAGAAATCTAGGGGCAAAGTAATTTAGGCAATCAAAGCCAAGGACAAGGTTCCTGAGGTAGGAACTAACATGGAATGTTTAAGAAATAGCAAAAACCCCAGTGTTATGGTATGAATCTGCAATGTCCCCCCCACCCAAAGCTCATGTGTTAAAAGCACGGTCCCCAAAGCAGCAAGGATTTATCTTCACTTTGGCCCCTTCTTCTCTTTCTCTGTCTGCTTCTTGCTGCCACTTGCTGAGCACCTTTGCTCACCTCCTCTCCCTCCATGTTGTTTCTACATTGGAGCCAGCTGACCAGGGAGAGAATTCTCTGAAACCCTAAACCCAAATAAATCTTTCCTCCTCTAAATTGTTCTTGTCAGGTATTTTGGTCGCAGCAACAAAGACTGACTAACATACCCAGTGTGGCAGGAATGTAAAAAATGTGGATAAATAAAGTGGTAGGAGACAGGTCACAGAAGTCTTGCAGCTACTGGAGCCAGAAAAGGGATCCGCAAGGGCTGGGCTCATATAGCCATTTAGTTCATTCTACTGGCTATACTGATAGACATTCCAGTTTTCTGCAAGCGTTGACTCTATTCAACTAAGATTGTATCCCATCTTCCTTCTTCCTTAGAAATATTTACAATAAGCTGCCAACAATTAAAGTAAGCCTAGTTTATCACTCTATTCCAGGCAAATCAAAGGAGCCATTGAGGATAACAGTAGAGGTAGGTCTACCGTGTTTAAAATTTCTTACTGATTTTGAGGTATGAAGAAGCAAACCAGGAAGGGGAAAGGCAGTTCACAGGAGGTAAAATACAAGAATCTGAGTAATGTTGAGCTTTATTCTGTGAGTTGCTACACTTCCTCCTCAGCATCAGTGATTTTCCAATCCGTCTTTCAAATTGATGAGATCTTCAAGCAAGGTAATGTGGCTACAAAGTTAGAATCACCTGTGTAGCTTAAAAATGAATAAAATAAGTTCCATCCCCCACCCCTCTGAGGTTCTGATTCAGTAATGAAATGGAAATGATGAGACTTTTTAAAAGCTTCCACAGCTAAATCCAATGTGCAGCCAATATTGAGATGATCATGGTCCATTACATGTAATTTTGTTTTCTGAGTCCTTTCCTTGAAATACCTCTAGGGCTGGGTTGTAGGTCAGTGGTAGAGCACTTGTCTGGAATATGGCTCTAAATTCAATCCCTAACACCACAAAAAATGAACAAAATACCTCTAGAAGCACACATAAAGACCCACTGGTCCGAGGAGATGAAGTTAATAGCAAAGCAGAGATATAGAATAAGGTTTGTTATATGCAGCTTAATGTTCATCTAATTATAAATTGCTCATAATAGTTAAAATTCTGAATATGGAATATAAATGATTGAATTTCCAGATATTTATTCTACTTCAGTAGACCATAACACTCTTTTTAAAATTATTATTATTTGTTCTAGTTAGTTACAACACCTTTTTTTAAGATGTGATTTCTCAATGATAGGAATAATAATGTTCTAACTTTGATTTGTACATAGGGATACAAATTTTTTCAAAGTAATACATAATTGGGTGACTTTAGAATTTCATGAAGAACTCTAATTTCCTTTGTGAAAATTTCTACAAGTCTGGAAATTAAAAATAATAATTTTTAACCTGACCTCAAAGAAATTACCTAAATATACTAAAACAAGTAGGTGATATAGCTGAATGAGTTCAAAAGTAAATTAACAGCAGAGCATAGTGGTCCACACCTATAATTCCCACTACTTGGGAGGCTGAGGCAATAGGATTGCAAGTTGGAGGCCAACCTGGACATCATAAGGAGACTCTGTCTCAAAATTAAAAAAAAAAAAAAAAAAAAAAGGCAGTGGGGATATAGTGCAATAGCATAGTGCCCTTGGGGTCAATCCCATATCATTAAAAAAATAAAAATAAATAAACAAACAATATTAACTGAAGGTATGTGACTAGTTTTGAATAGATACTAAATTAGGCTCTAAGGGGAAAAAATAATTTTATAAACAATTTTTATCAGTGTTTTCAAAAAGCCCTTTTCTTTTTTCTACATTTCCCTAACTGATGGGTTTTAAAATAACAGAGTTTGTAAAGTGATGCTCCACATTGTCTGATAACTTCAAAGTCAGGATTTTTCATGCCATATGTTTACAGAAGAATCTGGAATGCTACAATGACTGATTGTGAAATGACAAGACATACTGACAAAAGCAGGGCATATTAAAATTTTCCTGATTCAATATTTGTGGTAGATAGCAATTTGCTCTGAAATGGGGAAGCCCATAGCAGGGAAGTACCACTTGCTGGAAAGCACCTGGGGACTCTCTTATCCAGAATTCAGCCAACATCCTTTGCTTACACATTTGTACTTTCCTGCACTGCCCACAACACTTAAAACTGTCAAAGACCAAGCCTGTTTTACTGATGGACTGGAAATTTATTATACAATAGGTTCTATGTACTTTTCTTACTCCATTCAGAAAGCCTTGAGGCTATCTATCTTCATTGTCTGTAGAGATACTCTCCTAAAACCTAATGAGAAGGTCTAAAGAAGAAAATTACAGATTTGGAGTGTTTCATTCTGTGGAGATATGTGAGTCAGATGGAATTGGAAGAAATGGAAAGCTGACCTCTTTCAAATAAAGAGGACCCTGAACTTCACAGGAAGATTCCCTAGGATATGTAATAAAACATCTCATTGCTGAATTCCATTAAAAGACTGCATTCTCACTTTAAAATGACCTCATTTTAACAGGGAAGAGAAAAACAATATGAAATCTACTTGCGAGAACAGAGAGGCAAGAAAATATTATGAATAAGATAAGATTAATAAAGAGGTAGAAAATTGTCAATAGCAAAGATTGGGGCTGGGAGTATAGTTCAGAGATAGAAAACCATACTGAGCATGTACAAGGCCCTAACTCAATCCCTGGCACACACAAAAAAAGGCCAAGATGATCCTGTAAAATCCATCATGTTTCTTCCCCAAATTATCAAAATAACTTTACATTTGCCCCATCACATATGTGCTATGAATTCATCCATTGAAAGTCATGTTTTAATATATAAATACATGAGTGTCAATAAATATTTCTTCTTTAACTAAACTCTTATATGTAGAAATCTAAATAAACAAATAGATCACTTATATTATAATTAATTATTTACTTTGTAAAGAATGCTTCTTTGTATGAAAGTATGAAGGTCTTCCAGATATTACTTACTTACCACCTTCCTTTGAGGAATTTACTTACTGAATTCATATAAAACAAGCCTTAAAGATTATCAAGTGAGAGTTTTTTTACCTCATTTTTTTAAGGACCCATGTAAATCCTCAAATGTATCAGTGCTTAGTCTCTATAGTGTAGTAAATTAAATCTGTTGTAACAGAGTTATGATGAATATTATCTTTAAAGCACTAGTAATAATGTGCACAAATAAAATTCAGGAACTTGAGTAAGGAAATTGGTATATTTTGTTATATTTTGGTTCTTGAAAAATTCATGAGCATAGACCTTATCTTGAATCTATCTTCTGATTCCCAGTATCTAACACAGTCCCAGGCACACTGTTAAGAGCTGAGTATGTGTGAAATTGATGAGTCACGTTTCATTCCCTCTCTGAACTCTGCCAGGATGTGAGATCATTAGGACACTCTGTACTGTGAATGACAATTGACAGTGACAGAAACAGGCAGGAGAGCAGAATGAGGCACAAAGAGAAGCAAAATCTTCCATGGTTGGGGGAGGTGGATAATGATTTATTGAGAAAGATAATATATGTTCCAATTGGATTTGTATGATTTTTCAAAGTACTTTTACCAGGTTCTTATCTCATTTCCTCCTCACTATTCCCTTGTGAAGCATGAGATTATTTAATATATAAACCATGTAATTAAGACAGAAAAGAACAAAATGCAACACTTTTACTATAAAGTATGACAAAGAGAAAAATCACAGTGAACTTCTTCCATAAGCGCAGTGAAGACTATACTTATACAATCAGAAAAACATCCAGGTTAATATTTAGGAATTGCTTATTTTCAATAAAAAAGTATGATTCGTGAAATAAAATAAGTGATTAGGTGCTAGGTAATTTTTTATATGATGAATGGTATTACTGCTTCCCAAATGACTTTTTCCCAAGTGGTATTTAAAATGTTACTATATAACCCACACAGTGAACATTCCCCCAAATCTCAAAAAAAAAAAAAAAAAATGGATTTACTCAGTTGAATGTTGTTTTACACACATAATTTCTGGCTAGCAACTTACCCTGAAAGTCTCCACCACCTCTTTTGATCCTCCTTCTCCAAGGTATTCAGCGGAGCATCCGTTACTGCAGTCCTTAAAGAAGAATTAAACCTCCATTAAGTAAAACCAAAAAGGATTAACGGGGGTTTGGGATGATCAATAATACTCACCATCACACAGGGTTCTCTGTTCCGGTACCCAGGTGAACAAAAAAATGATCTGTCAATCGAACGCCCAGGCACCAGCCCAAACAAGGGCCTCCCAAGAGTACTGCCCTTCACTTCCTACCCTGCCCGCGCGGTCTGGGTTGTTTTTGTCCTCCTCTGCTAGCTTAGGGAAAACTTGTTAAATTCCAGGTCAGCCCTGATGCCAGGGTTCACCAACAAAGAACAAGAAGGTAATTGTCTCCTTTCTATCCGAGTAAATCGTCTAGACTAGGGTTTTAACGCCATTTATAGAAAAATCTCCAGGGCGCGCTCAGCCTCGTGGTCTTGTCAATCATGGGCGCACAATAGCCAGAATGTAAAAGGGATGGGGACCGGCGTGAACCATTTTCTTCACCAGCAGGGTCATCCGCATCCACATCACACCAAACCCCACACTTTAAGGACAATACTTGTGATATTAGGAGAGGTGAAAAGATAAAGATACAGGGAAGAGGGACTAATTGGGGAAAGGTACCTAAGGGGGGGGGGGGGCAATTTGCTAATCAAATACAGAAGCGAGGCAAGAAAGGGATCCAAGGGAGTAGAAGACTGCGGTCTAAGTATTTAGGATGTGGCTGTGGATTCTTGCAGCCCAGAAATTCGCTCCCGTCTCCTCCCTCTCAAAGCTTCCGTGAGGACCTCACATCCCCATTGCGGAGCGGATCACCCAGCAGGATATTAGACTTGGCCAGCAGGGACCTCGACAAGGCTGAGTTGGCAGGCTGGGAGTCTGGATTTAAGGAAAGGACGCGGGAAGAGGAGCCGCCTCCGCTTGGGCGGAACGTGGAGTGAGGCAAAGGAGGGTGGCGCGAGAAACCGCAGTCCTAGGTGCGGTCACGCCCGCAAGCTTCAGAGATGCTGGTTCCAACCTCCCTCCCACCCCCCATCCGCAAACGCCTGGGCCGGGGTACCTGCGAGGCGAGAGCCGCGGCGGCGCAGCGATGGCTGGCCATCAGGAGACTGCAGGAGCGCGAGGCTGCGGAGGGCGAGGGTGGCCCCCGGTGAGCGGCTGGACCCGAAGGCGGACGGTGCGGCCAGGCCCAGGTGCACCACCCGCGCGGCGCGAGGTGCCACGGCCCGGGGCCCCGAGCCAGCAGCAGACTCAGGGAACGACGCAGCCCCTCTAGCATCCCTGAGGGAGGAGCCTCGGCTGTCTGTTCCCTTTCTGTCTGCAGAGCCGAAAACCAAAGTCGTTGTCCTAGCCACTGGGTCTCGAACAGAGGCCCAAGAATAAGCTCCTGGAGTCAGCATCTTCCCAAGGGCAGGCACTCGGCAGGCGAGCATTCTTATTTACTACACGACCTCTGGGAGAGAGGCCCGGAAACCTCCGCTAGGCAAAGGAGACATTCATTTACATAAAGGCAGCTTTCTGCAGACTCCAAATCAAACTGACAAAAGGCAGGTTCTGCCCTGGGGCGTTTGCAGCCAGGGAATGGCATTAGTATGTGGCTCTTGACAGCCACCGACCCCCAGTTGCAAACGGTTTTTAGATTCCTTTGCATCACCTACCCAAGTGGTTATTTGTACCTCCGGATGTGATGGGGCTACCAGGCTCTCATCCCCTAAGCTCTGTGCTATTTCTGCCCAAAGATCTCCATTCCATTCATCGTTTTCAGACAAAATAATCAAGAGCTCCTAGTCATACTGTTTTTACAGTTTTCTGATGTAGGCCCGTGATAACGATATTAGAGGCTGGGAAAGTGACGTTGGAAATATTACTCAGCTTAGAAAGAGGAGATTGGAAGAGCTATTGTCTCCTCGGCTCTGTTTTCCCAGGGCAATTATCAGACTAAATTATGAGCCTTCCGGGGTCTGAATAGGAAGTGGTGACTGGGACCAACTTGATCTTTGAAAGGGAGGATGGCAGTTCATTCTGGGTGAAAGCAGTTAAATCTAGTCAGGTTTTAGAAATGATCTCACACAACCCTACAGAAAATGAAGCTCCAATCTTATCAACTAAGGAAACCTTCACCTGTCCCTTTCTTCCTCCCCGTTAGACAAGGCATTGAAATGCCTCTTCTGCCAGGTGGGGTCCCAAGAACCAAAGATTCCAGGTAGATCATGTGTCATCGCAACTGTGGCAACTGTCCCTGAAAACCCAGAATTTTAAATTGAAAACTTTTCTTTCTTTAGTTTACTCTTTCTCGTGTACAGGCCAAGTAAACCTTAAGAAACCAGTTAGCCACCCCTTACTAAGGCTTAAAAATGAATCCCTAGGTCCATAATGCACTGCAAAAAAGATATATGAATATTATGTATCCATAAAATGCTTTTAAAAAAACAATCCTTAAGGGAAACACTTCAGGACATCAGAATCAGTAAGGATTTTCTGGACAAGATCACAAAAGCCAAAATGGAAAAAAAAAATAATTTAAAAAGCTTCTGAATAGCAAAGGAAGTACTCATCAAAGTGCAAAGAGAATCTAAGGAATGGGAGAAAATATTTGCAAATTATACATCTGACAAGGGATCTATATCCAGAATACACAAGGAACTCCAAAAACTCACTAGCTAAATAAATAAATAGCAGTCTGGATTAAAAAATGGGCAACAGATCTATAACAGATCTAAATAGACATTTCTCAAAAGATAACATAAAAATAGATAACAAGTACATGGAAAAATGTTCAACATCACTAATCATCAGGGAAATGCAAATCAAAACCACAATGAGATCACTTCACCTGAGTAAGAATTTTAAAATAAAAATATTTAAAAATTTTTAAATTTGTTGTTCTTATACATGACAGTAGAATCTATTTGATATATTTAGACAAACATGGAATCTATCTTATTCTAATTAGGATCCCAGTCTTATGGATGTACAATGATGGTGAAATTCATTGTGGTGTATTCATATAGGTCAGATTCATTCCACTGTCTTTCCTATTTCTGTCTCCCTCCCCACTTCCCTTCTTTGCACTTTCTCTAATCCACTGAACTTCTACTCTCCCTCCACCCCTTGTTGTGGGTTAGCATTCACATATCAGAGAAAACAAGAATGGCTAGTATTAAAGACTAAAGAAAATAAGTGCTGGCATGGTGTAATGTTGAAGCGTATATATGTGCAGCTGCTGAATTTGGCAGGTTGGATCCAATAGACAATAAAGACACTCTCTTTATACAAGGTAACATTTATTTTAGTAATAATATAGAAGCAAGAGCAAAAGCAAAAGTGATAGTCAAGAGAGAAAGAGAACAAAACACATCACCAGATCAGGGGAAACACTAACACCTGACATCTTATAACTGGGAGTCCTTGACTGGGAAGTCCCTGGGCAGAACATCCTACTTGAAAGTTTTATTTCCCAGTAAGGCTCCTTAAATTCAAGTAAGAACAAAAAAACTGTGACTAACAACTGTGACTCTCAAGGACAATTCATCCCCCAAAGGACTGGCCACATCCCCAAGAGAAGGAGTGACAACCTTGAGATAAGTGAAAGATTCAGAATTCTCCTGAGGGAGCCAAATCCACTCAGAATGCAGCATTTTTTAGATGTTTCATCAAGGACATATGAAGGTCATGGCAGACACAAGGACATGGAATTTCTTTACTGTTTTCCTTAGCCCCTACATGGATGTGGAGAAAAGGAAATTCTTATGCACAGTGGATGGGAATATAAATGCATATAGCCAGTATGGAAAACAGTATGAAGCTTTCTCAAAAAATTAAAAATAGAACCATCATCCAGCTATCTCAAGAAATAGAAACAACCAAAGTATCCATCCACTGATGAACTGAATGGATAAAGAAAATGTGGCACATATGCACAATGAAATACTGCTCAGCCATAAAAAAGGAAATCCTGTCGTCTGCAACAACATGAATTGAGGTGGGAAATATGACAGGCACAGAAAGACAAGCACCGTGATCTCATTCACAGGTGGAATCTCAAAATGTGGATGTCATAAAGATTGAGAGTACAGTGGTGGTAATCACAGGCTCCAGGGAGTAAGGGGAGGGGAGGGATGGGGAATATTTTTTTTTGAGGTGTTGGGGATCAAACCCAGGGCCTGGCACATACTGGTGGAGCACTCTATTGCTGATCTACATCCCCATGCCAGGGATGGAGAAATATTGATCAGTGGGTACTATCACGTACTACACATGTCAAAGAGCTAGAAAAGTTTCACCATATAGAAATGGTAAGTGAGGATGTAATAGGTTTAACCTGACTACAACATTATGCAATTTATACATGTCTGGAAACGTGCAATTTTATACTTTTATGCATCAATTAAAAATAAATGAGAATTGCTTGTATTTCTCAGTTGTTTGTAAACAAACCAAAAAAAAAAAAAACCTCTCAAAAACAATGAAATAATGCAAAACACATTGAAGAGGCCCATGGAATTTGAATCAGATAACTTTAGAAATTTGTTCTATACAAGTCACTATTTTTCAATGAAGAATACCCTACAAGTAGGTATTTAATTTCCTCATCCAAGAAGTGTTATTAGTAAGCAACAACAAGAATAAGCCAGAACTATTAGTGACTCTACTCACCTATCATCTTAATTAAGATGCTCTGACTTTCACAATTTTTACTTTACTTTAACCCAGGGGCAAGAAAACCCACTGAGAAGTTAAGAATTGTCTGGGAATGGGGGTGGGGAGGGTGTGACAAAATTCATGTGTGTGGGCTTCAGTTTGGAGACTGAAAGAGGGTGGGGTGGAAAGGAATGGGTTTTTGAGGAAGCTATTAAAGAAAACACATTTCAGATGGTCTTATTAATAAATTGGACTTTGAGTTGTGATAGAGGATACAGATGGAGAGAAACAGCCAGATCCCATCATCTTTAGACAGAATGGGCATGGGGGGTGAAAGGAAAGTGAGAAAGCAAGAGAGGGGCCAGCGAGAAAAGAAGGATGGAGGTCAGGCAGAGATCCACAGGAAAGTTTATTTGTCAAAGCTGACAAATAAAGCCCATCTCTAGAGAAGAGAGAGGCCCCAAGATGTTCGGGAGTTCAGCTTTTGTGGGGAAGGGTTGGAGCTGTAGCTGTGGCGCCATGGGATAGGCTCTGGGGTGCTTGTGTCAGAGGGAGACGGGAGGGCAATAGCATGGGATTGGCTTAGGTCCATGGTACCATAGGGCTTTCCAGAGCAAAGGGGTTGTGTCCTTCTGGGATTGGCTTAGGGTTATGGTACCATAGAGTAGATCACTAATGGGGATGGGGGGACTTCAGGTAAGAGGAAGTACAGGAAAGTGAAACTTATCTCATAAGATGGTGGTTAACATTTAAGATGGCTGCTCGAATGTTAAATCAATACCCTATAGGTAGAAGCAGGAAAAAAGAAGCAATTAAGAGGGCTCCTTGGATTCCAGCTGTATCATCTAGTTGGCTACATTCATCAAGAACAAGGGGACACTAGAATGTGACATGGTTTGAGGGGATGAGCAGATCTGGTTGGATCCCACTGAGTTTTGAGGTGTCTGAGACTCTGAGAGATCTGGCTGTCTGAAGCTCAGAGGAGAGGTCTAGATTGAAGGGTAATTATTTGATGAATCATTGCCATATAGGTGCTACCTGAAGTGGTGAATATGAATGAGAATCTCTGTACTTGAGTTTTCTGATCTTTAAAATGGGACACAGCTACACTTCTTATTTGATAATCGGGATACACAATCATAAAGCATTACTACATATGTATATGACTTAGAACCACACCTTGTATATCCTAAACCTTCAAATAATGTAGATAATGATTATTTTGCAGTGTTGACAAACATTTTATGTAAAGGGCTGTTAGGTAGAACTTGACATAGGCAATAGCATTTTGAAACACATCCTCAAGCTTACAACATGAGTCACTTCAAGTCACTGGCTCAGCCTGACCCAAACCCCAAACAATACTCCACCATCATGCAAAGAAACCCCACCCACTCCATCATCATTAGGAAATTGTTATCAGGGGCTGAAATCTTGAAAACACCTAGTTACTTATGAAGGTAACACTCCAAGGACCATTCCCTGACAACCTCCTAGCAACAGCCTAATTTCCCCCTCCCTCATTCCCCAATATCTACACCAGGCTATAAGTGGTCTCAGTCTCCACTGAGTCCCCCTCCGCAGGTTTGTCCCAAATACACCTGTGTTACTGCGGAGCCACTTCTCCTCTCTCTTTATTTCCTTCATTTGCTTCTTCCTTACAAGGACCAGGTAGAAAATATTTTAGGCTTTGAGAAATATGATCCTTGCTCCATCTACTCAAACCTGCACTGTTTCACTGAAGTAGCCAAAGAAAATATGTAAAAGAATAGGCATGGCAGGTTCCCACACACATACTTAGGAAACAGGAGAGAGAACATGTGGCCTGTGGAGGTGGGTTACTTGACTGTATGGTTTAGATATGAGGTGTCCTCCAATGTGTGAGATCATGCAAAAAAAAATTTAGAGGTGAGATGACTGGGTTATGAGAGGTTTAATCTAGCCAGTATATTAATCCCCTTGTGGGGACTAACTGGGTAATAACTGTAGGCAAGTAGGGTGTGAAATAGAGGAAATGGAGGAAATAGGTCCTTGGGTACATGTCTTTGGGGTTTATGTTTTGTTCTGGTTGAGCAGAGTTCCCTCTGCTTCTTGGTCCCATGCTCCTAGCTGTTTCCTTCCACCACACACTTCTGCCTGCCTCACCTCGCACCCCAAGGAATGGAATCAGCCATCTATGGATTGAGACCTCTAAAACCATGCCCCCAAATCAACTTTTCCTCCTCTAAAATTGTTCTAGTTGGCCCTTTTGGTGATAGGAGTGAAAAAAGATGACTAAAATACTGACCCCTCTTCCATTTAATTTTCCTAGCTAGACATAGAAAGGTTGTCCATCAAACACATCCAAGAAGTCACTGTGTCTATTAATTCTAGCTTCACATGTCCTGAAGTTGCTATTTCTCCAAACACAGCACCACTATCCCACTGCCAAACGGCTTCCAAGTAGCCCCTCAGAGTCAGGCTTGATTCCCTCTGGGCCATTCCTAGTGTGGCAACCACAGAAATCATAGCAAAATGCAAATCTGAACATACCTCTTCTTGGCTAAAAAAAAAAAAAAACTCTTCAAGCCTTTGTATCAAGGCTTTTGACAACATACTTTAGCAAGCTCCTCAATTCTGGCTCCTATCCCTGACTCTCCAGCTCATCTTTTTCCTCTCTCTCTCTTTCTCTCTTTTTCCCTTCCTCCCTCCCTTCCTCCCTCCCTCCTCCTTCTCCAGCTTTAATTGTTTTTCATTTATATGTATAGCCTTTGGATTAGGGGTACACTGCTGATTACAACATGATATGAAAGAAATATATATCTAGTATTAAAAATATACATTAGTATATTAAAAATATACATCTTGTATTTTTCAAGGTTTATTTATTTGTGTCCTACTTGTACTTGGGTAGACAAATATGTACGCAGCATAATTCCTACTACTTCCCCCCACTCCCTACCTCATTGTCTCTGGAAAGGCAAACCATGCAGAAATCTTGATAAAACAATTCTCAGTTGAGCTTATTTAATGCCACATCTCCTCTAACCAAATAAAACCAGCAATTTCACTTCCTATGTCTATAGTTAATGGATCAGTTTCCTAGACTGCAGTAACGAAGTGCTGCAAACTGGACCGCTGACAACCACAGACAGAAATGGATTGTCTCAAGCTTTGTTCAGTGGCAGTCTTACAGCTAATGAGGCTTATATGAGGCAAGATAATTGCTAATTGAAAACTTTTCCCAATACTCCATTGTGATGTCTTGCAATATAGTCAGCATTGGCAATTTCTGGTAGTCTCTACAGAGCCTGGGGGGGCAGGGGGGGACAGAAAAGGAAAAAGAAATTGATTGTCTCATAGTTCTGGAGACTGGATGTAGACAGGGCCATGCTTGTCTCTCCCAGCTACTGGTAACCCAGGTGTTCTCGGTGCAGAGCTGCAGCACATCAATCCCTAAGTGATGTCCCCCTTCACATATCTTTTTCTTTTTTTTTTTTTAATAAGAATACCAGTCATATTGGATTAAAGGTCCATGCTAATATTGTGTGACCTCATTTTAACTTGACATCTACAAAGACCTTATTTTCAAATATGGCATTCACAGGCATTGGGTTTTAAGACTTCAACCTCTCTTTTTCGGGTACACAATTCAACCAGCACAGTTAACTAACTTTAAATTTGATGATCACATCATCTTTCAAGATTTTTGCTTTAAATAATAAAACAAATGGATTTAGAAGGTCACATCCCTTTCATGCAACTTTTCATCAGTACTTGCCAGTGGAAAAAGGGGGTTCTTAGCAAAACTTAAAGGCTCTCAAATGTATGGCTCTAGACAGTCCCTTCTCTTTCTTGCCCAGTTGAGTACATGAAGTCACACTGAGACTGCTGCCTGCTCATGTCTCTTCTCTATACATGCCTGGCCTTCCTTGCTAGTCCACTCTCTTGGCCAATAGACAAGGTTCCCCAATAGTTCATTCTGGAACTTTCTCCTTCTCCGCTAATACATCCATCCTTAATGCTGTCACCAGTGTTCTCTCTGAAAAGATTTTCTAAAACCTCAGCTTAAAACCCTAATAATAGCTGCCTCTGTGCAACCAGATGTTCTGGGCACTTTGGGTAGGATATTTTCTAAGTACTCAAGTGTCCTATCCCCACCCTACCCACACACACACACCATAGTTCTATTATAGGCCTTCAGAGAGGTTGGCTCCATTTCCCAAGATCAAACAGCTATAGGTCAAATCAGTTAGATGACTAGTTTTGTGATCCTACCTAAAATTCTGACTCATTCCAATGGCTCCCACGTACCTAGAGTGTCGACCTCCAAATTTTATGGTTACAAAAATTCTTAGCATATGTGACAGATTGTGTTTTTCCAAGATGGCCTCAAAATTATCTTCCATTGCACATGCTCTTCTGCTCAAACCCTTAGGAGGTAGAGTTTTGTTTTTTATTTTTAAATCTGGTAAGCACTTTGACTCTTTTGACACACAGAACATGGCATAAGTAATTTAGTGACCCACAAACCAGGAGAGATAATAATAAATTGTTACTTTATTAAGCCACAAAGTTTTGGGATGTTTGGTTTTATACCTATATTAACCAAAAGTGAATATATGGCTATCACATACTTAATTAGTTATGAAAAACAACTTATACAAAAAATACATTAAAAATAGGACTAAAAAAGTTGAGATAAGCATGAAATAATTCGCATTTTAAAATCTCTCTCCAATTATGATTTTCTTGTACCATTATATACCTTGGCTGCAGGCACAATATACACAAAGGCCAGTGGATGTAAACCCCTCTTACATAGTCTTACTGATTATATCAGTTTTTTGTGGTCCACTGCTTGTCAGTTCTGATTAATGCAATTAACAGAGAACTTATTAAGAATTGGAAAACCATTAGCTGTCTTGAACAATATGGCAAGTTTCCTTGCTTCCGTATTATTAATATTTTCTTTATTCTGGTTTTATCCTTTTAATATTTTATTTGTGTTTGTTTTGTTTTCTTGCAGAAATCTTTGAAAGCCAGTCTTCTGTCTTACAAGGAGGACCAATTAACACTGCATGACATAATCTGTAAATCTTCTTAAGTAGGCTGGCTAGACCTCCAGGCATTACAACCTGCTAGGAGCCAGGCTGCACAAGGGACCCCACCCCACCCCCAGTGGTGACTATGCACTTCCTCTCCCTTCAGGACACTGTACAGTCTGTGACAGTGTGGTCTTGTCCCAGACTAAGCATATATCAATCCATATGAGCTAGATATAACTTAATTTTTTCCCATATCAGAGAAAATAAAATATAATAATTTCTTTGGCACACCAATGGCCTCTTCTACACATCTCTGAGCACATACACTCTGCTCTGAAACTCACTGTGCTCAGGACAAAATTCAGAGTCCTGAGCTTAGTCCTCAATGTTCTGCTCTTTCTCTGCCTAACTCTCCCTTGCCCCCCACTGCTCACCCTCCCTTGCACTTCTTGTCCCCCCCTTTCCTACACACAGAAATCCTTAACCCAGTAAGTCCCTAGGTCATCACCAAATTCCTTAAAATTAAGTAACAGAGGGACAGAAAAGCAAACATATGAAGATTCCTGATGGAAAGCCTAGGAATTTCATTGCATGTTTGGAAATATTTAAACTTATAATTTTGCATTTTACAGAAGTAGAATCACATAACAACCTCTGAGGGAGAGGAATTAACCCTAATTAAAAGAGGCTGATTTTTTTAAAAAACCCATATATTATATCTTGGTTTGTTTTGGAGAACATTTTGTCTTACACCAGTATGAAGTAGGGGCTCTGCTTTTAAGAGTTCAGGTTAATTTACTTTGAGAAAATTAATAGCAAAACGAAAAGACACTGGGACCATGATCAAAGCAGAGATGACTGAAGTTTTTAATGATTGGTAAGAACATTAAAATTGCCCCTCTGCATCTGCCAGGGGGAAGAAATACAGGACCTCCTGCAGACCAAATTCCAGGGATGTTCAAGTTCCTTATATAAAATGGAGCCTGTTTGCATCTTAACCTATGCACATCTTCCTTTATACTAATTCTTCCTTGTCTTTTCTCCCTTACTTAGTTTGAAAAGTCTCTAGGTTACATTTAAGACTTAATACAACGTAAATGCCATGCAGTAGTCCTTATACTGTATCGTTCAGGGAATAAAGACAAGGTACAAAAGTGTACATGTTCAGTAGAAATGAAATCTTTGCAGGCCTAACTACATTGTCCACTGCAGTGGGCGGAATCCACAGAGGCAAAGCCCACAGCTATGGAAGACCCAGAAAAATCTATAATATATGCCCAGAAACATAAACCCGTTCTATTAAGTCCATGCTAAGTATTAAAAAGTGAGAAGACAGGTTGATGATTGACAATGAGGAAAAGATATGCACCAAATGGGAAGATAGGCATCCTACAATACAATTAATGGGAATGGATTTCCTGTGTATAAGATGTATGTCCAAGAAAATGTAAAACAATAATTTATCTCTGATATGTCCCTTTGTTCTAAAATGTGCTGCTCTCCATCAGAAGTGAAGCACACATACCACTCAGCACCTCCTCCAGGAAATCAAAGTGTATGACAGACACTGAAGGAGATGACAGAGTCCATCAAGCTTTCTGGAGTGAAGTGGTATATTTGCATAGTATATAGTATATGTCCCGGGTACACTCAGTCCTGGCATTCGGTTTGGAAATGTTAAATACTCTCATTTTCACATGTAGAGAAGAATTAAGTGGTTCCTGTGTCTGTCACCTGGATAATATAAGGGCCTGCGTCCTTCAGTGTCTCTCTCTTCAATGCCTATTTGATGATACACAGACTACAATCAGAGGAAGAAGGAAGGTCTTTAGACAAAAATTGTCATAAATCCTGCTGCCTTTAACAGTTTGAAGTTGGACTATCATAATGCTCACCAAAAGTTTCTCTTTTCATTGCCTTTCTCCACCCTAAACGGGGAGGATAACTGCAACCAGACAAATTCATGAAGCCTGGTAGTAGATTTCGCCGGTGACTTCATTAGAGGAGGTTGGATGGACATAATAACTGAGACGGTCTGTTTCTTTATACCTAGCAGTTTTTGCAGCTTACTAGACCATTTGGAGCAAATGAAAGAACAGCTTTCCTTTTGTACAGTGAGAGAAAGGCAGTCATGAAAAGGGAAATGGGAAAAGAGAATTGGAAAGATGTGCTCCCCACCCAACCCAGGGGCCTTCTGCCAGGCAAGGCTTGGGTAAGACTGAAATCAAGGTTTGTCAAAGCACATTATAACAACGTAGCTTAAAGATGTTAATTGGCTTTATTTTCAATTCTAGAATTGGGTAACACTTCATTCCATAACCTGGAATAAGTGTTCAAATGGGTTAAGCAAAAGAGATTGATGTCATAGGCAGAAAGACTCGAGAAAACAAAAGACAAAAGCAATGGAGCAAAAACAAAAGAATGAAAGCAGATTGGTCCCTTCAAATTTACTTTCTTTGCAAGGTGGGGACACGGAGACAGATCAATAGGAAAAATAACTGATTTAGTTAACATCAGGTTACTTTGGTTTACTGGTGGTTGTTGTTGTTTTTTTCTTCCCCTTTTTGTACAAGACATTGAACCAGGGGTGCTTAACCACTGAGCCACATCCTCAACCCTTTTCTGTTTTTTATTTTGAGACAGGGTCTTGCTAAGTTGCTTAGTTACTTGAGGTTACTCGAGGCTGACTTTGAACTGGTGATCCTCTTGCCTCAGCATCCAGAGTACCTGGGATTACAGGTGTGCACCACTGTGCCCGACTGGTTTGTTGTTTTTCTGTAAGGATTTAGACAGAGGGAACGTCATCATTATGTCAATTGATACTGGCCTGTTGGGAAATTTGGCTGTATCTCTTTAATTGCTTTGATGATGTGGGATTTTATCATGAGCAAATCCATTTTGATTTTCTGCCTGGTCTGTGCAGAAGCTTAGTCCAAAACAGTGGTCTACTCTAATCTTTATTTAACATATTGAAGACCTAGAAATTGTTGGTTTCCTAACATCTGTTTGTCCTGAGCACCTCTTTGGAAAGTATCCCAGGAGCCTGAGCTCTGCAGATTGACGTCACTAGTTCAACCTCACTTTCAAGAAGAAAATTGCAACATCGGATTATTGCCCTGTTGTTTCTGCATCAGTCTCCAGTCTGGCCATATTTCTAGTGGTTAGTACACAGGCAAATGTGTGAGCTTCAATAAATATTTGCTGAATAAATTAACTGAATATATAAATCCACCATTTAAATTTTTCCATATTTTTATTGGTGC